TTTTTAATATCTCAGCACCGTCGCGTGGCTGGCCACTGCCGCGATGCCTTGGCCACAGCCTAGGTAAAAAAAAGAAAGAGAGAGAGCATCTCGTCGTGTGGCTGGGCCACGGCCGCGATGCCTCAGCCACGGCCGAGATATTAAAGAAAGAAAAAAAAAAAAGCCACGTGCCGGACTGGACTGCAGTTGCAAACTCGGCCTTGCGACTGTTGTGCATGTAGAGAGTTTCGACTGCAGTTGAAACTTGGGACCGGACTGGGCTCCAAAACAGCAGTTCGAAATGCAATTACAAACTGCTTTCGTGACTGTGCCCTAGTTACCCCTTTTTTTTTATAGGAGGGTGGGGGACATCGAAGGGTAACTCCCTATAGTTTTTTCAAAAAACAATTTCACGAATGATATTGTTTTTAATTAAAAATTAAAAAAAAAATCAACGAGCCAAAATAAGCATATTCGTTTGCTATTTTGCAGGCCATTTTGATTTTGTTTTTATTTTTTCAATGTCATCACGCTGTGGGGCTTGAGGCGAATGTACCTGGCGGAGCCCAAAAAAAAAAAAAAAACCCACTCTTTAATGGTCGGCCCGTTCACAAAAAAAACACCAAATGAACGGCCGGTCACGTTCACGTGACCGGTTCCGGTCACTGTCACGGGTACGGCACTGGTTAAGAGAGCTATCTAATCTCGCAGCCGGAATTTATAGCGTGCATGCATGCGCTAAGAACACGGAATTGCAAGCACTTAGGAAGAGAGAAGGGAAGGGATTGCCTACGTTCTGCATGGCCAGACCGCAGCGTGGGGGACGTAGCCACTCTCCAGGCATCTATCCGATCATGCAGCTGGCATGCCAAATAGACACAGCAAAGGAGAGAGAAGGTGGGAAAGACAAAGCTCAAGAAGAGCGATACAGTTACATGGGCGCCCTGCCCAAAATTACGGTTACACGCAGGATTAAGGGCGCCGACTAATCAGAGCTCCGTTGCAGCCGCAAAAAGAAGCCCGTGAGCAGAAAAAGGCAGCGCGCGGCAAAGGAAATCCTGAATTCCTAAATTCCTAAATTCCTAGCTAATCCAAAAAGAACTTTTTTTTTTTTTTTTTTTTTTTTTGGAATAGCTTGATCTTTCATTACAAAAGTATTGGAGGCCGGGAATCCCTCCACATCTCAACCCGGAAAAGAAAGCCCAGGCCCAGAGAGGCTTAACTGGAAACCGGGTCCAGTGTCCCATGCTCTTCACAACAAACATTGCTATCCCAAAAGAAGCCAAAAGGAAACTTGAGACTACCAATCAATCACCACAACGAGCTAAACTTTCAGAACCTAGTCCTTGTCAGCAAACATCCCTGAAGCCTTACCCGGCTTTGCTCCACGGGAGTGGTCCAAACACAACCCATCAACAAGTACCTAATCTAACCTATGCGCCCTGTATACTCCAAGCTCTTCCCTCTAACCCGAGGGATCAACCAAGAACTGATAATCAAAAGAACTTTTAATCAAACGCAAATTCCGGAAAGAAAGTCCGAAATTCCGAGAGCCATCAAGGGCTCGACAAGATTCGAAAAAGACATTAAAAAAAGAAGCAAAACTTCCTGCGCGACCTCCGCGCCTAAAACCCGAGAACAGAATAAGAAGGACGCGAACATTATTAATCGCGCCTTTGTCGGTGCGACAGCCACTCAACCGGCCATCTCAGGAATTGCCCGGCCCTGAACCCCGCCATCCGAAAAGAAGCGACGCAAAAAGACGAAGAAGCGAGGACACCGATGCAATTCCCCTTCGATCCCCATGTCCCGTAATTGGCCCAACCTTCCCATCTTAGGACCCCTCATTGTCATCGCGCAGAAAATCGCGCGGAACAGAAATTGGTTCGTCACAGGCCTACATTTGGACTACTACCAAGGGTTGCTCTCACCACCCTCCCTAGTAAGTCTGCATATGTTCATGTCACATCAGAGTTTCATAGGGGGCAAAAAACACATGCTGGAATGGCAATGAAAGTACCGCGGACATGGTGTCAGGCCGGGTATCATATTTACAGGGGTCCGCCGTGGTGCCAGATGAGGAAAGGAAAAAAAAAAAAAAAAAGCCCAACGAATTCTTTTCGACCGAAATTGCCATTTCCAATTCGGCGCCTGATTTCTTTGCTGGAGCTTGTTTTTTTTGCCTTTACGAACTTAAAACCTGCCACATCCACCGTTGTGTCAACAAACAAAAAAAAAAGAGCTTTCCTCCCTGCCTCCTCTTGGGACCTCTTCCCTCAGGTTCTTGGGAAGGCACGATGATCACACAAATGGGATCGCTGTGTGAGCAGTGTCCACGTCCCCCATAATGCTGCTCGACCAGGCATGGCATTCAGGGCTATTGATCCCCTTTCCTCCGACTCTCTCCGTCTCCTTCTTCCTTTGGCCTTCCCCCAGCATGCATGCAAGCTTTCTCCCATGCACAGCTATAAATCTCACGAGGGCAGTTCTTCTCTCTCTCTCTCTCTCTCTCTCTCTCTCTCTCTCTCTCTCTCTCTCTCTCTCTCTCTCTCTCTGTGTGTCTGT